ATTAACAGAAGCTTATTTGATTCTATCTATGTTTATGTAATCCAGATCTTGAGAGACTTGCTGGAGCCAATCAGAAGCAGTGTTAGAACAATCTCATGAAACATTCTGAACTTCTGGGCCTCCAGTATGAAGCCCTTCTTCAGAATAGAGAGACTACTTGTGCAGTTGAACTGAGACTGGGTGAAACTGAGAGGCAGATAAATTGGTTTTCCTCTATTTTATGTGGTCTGTCATAAAAATAAGATGCAGTGGCTCAAGTGGTTAAGATGCTGACTCTGTTGATTGCAAGATCAGCAGGTTGGCAGATCGAGGCCCGGGTGTTGCATGATGGGGTGAGCTCCTGTCAGTAGTCCCAGCTTCTGCCCAACCTAGCAGTTCAAAAGCATGCAAATGCAAGTAGATAAATAGGTACCACTTCGGTGGGAAGGTAAACCGCGTTCTGTGCAGTCATGCTGGCCACATAATCACAGAATAGTCTCTGACAACTCTGGGTCTTCGGCTTAGTAATGGAGATGAGCACCACCCCCTATGGTCAGGCATGACTTGACAACCTTGTCAATAGGGAATACCTTTACCTTATCATATCAAGAAATACAAGTATCAGAGTTTCTTGTGCAGGGGTAGGCAACCTAAGGCCCAGGGGCCAGATGTGGCCCCCTGAGGCCTTTGGACTGACCCCAGGCCGGTCCTGCCGCTGCCGCCGCCGCTCCCCACCACTGCCGCTGCCATGATGATATTGATTATTGTTATTATTACTTGCTGTTAGGATTTTCTTGGCAAAATCTCCACAGGGGTTTTGCCATGGCTTTTCTGGGGCTGAGAGAGTGTGCATGCATATTTTTTAATTTTTTTAAAAAAAATATTTATTTATTTATTTATTTTTGGTGCTTCGGCCCCCCAATTGTCTGAGGAACAGCAACCTGGCCCCCGGCTCAAAAAGGTTGCCTACCCTTGTTCTTGTGTATAAACAGGAAGAGTAGATGCCTGGTAGAAAGGATAAAGCAAAGGGCCATAAGGTATTGGGGGAATGCTATAGGATTTGCAAGCAATTGTGTAAGTGTCTCATTCTCTCATGGTTTCACTATATCGTTGGACAATGTCATTGGCAGGTTAGAGCACAGATTCAAACTACCAATGACATTTGTTTTATATTCTGTTCAGTCCTAAAGTGTGACATTAATGCTTTGGGAACTGAAAGAAGCATCTAAGTATATTCACATATACTTCCCACAGATCTTTCTTAAAAATTTCCTTTTAAAATATTGTTCCTGAATAGTTCAAGTCAATGTATGCAATGCCATCACAAGTCTCCTTATACAATATTCTGCCTTGGACAGAATATTTAATTTAATTATATAGGGTTTTTTTGTGGGTTTTTAGGCTATGTGGCCATGTTCTGGAAGAATTTATTCCTGATGTCTTGCCTGCATCTGTAGCTGCCACCTTCAGAGAATGGTGATATGGAGATGTATGGAGTATATATACTGTGTGACCCCTGATTGAGAGGAAGTGATTTACATGTTAATCTGTGTATTGGTCTGTTGGTGAATGGCAAGGCTTTGGCGTGGGAGGATATGGGGGAAGATTTGTATCTATTTAATTAGTGATCTGTTGTCTGCTGGGAAACCCCTTGATCGTGGGTGATGTCCATTTGCATGTGCTGAGTATTGATTTTGGTGTTTTTCAGGATTGGTAGCCAAACTTTGTTTACTTTCAGGGTTTCTTCTTTCCTGTTGAAGTTGTCCAGGTGTTTATGGATTTCAATAGTTTCCCTGTGCATTCTGACCTGATAATTGTTGGCATGGTTCAAAATTTCAGTGTTTTCAAATAGCATTTCATGCCCAGGTTGGTTTATAACATGTTCTGCTACTGCTGATTTTTCTGGCTGGCCCAGTCTGCAAATGATCTACAGAGCAACCAAGAAAATCCAGCAAATGATGCATTCAATGAAGAACAGGAGAGACCCCTCACAGCCACAGGAGTTTACCGCATTATCTTGCAGCTGTGGACAAGTCTACATAGGGACCACCAAAAGCAGTGTTCAAATGTGAACCCAGGAACACAAGAGACACTGCCGACTGGGCCAGCCAGAAAAATCAGCAGTAGCAGGCAATGGATCCCTAATTAAATAGACACAAATCCTCCTTGCATATTCTCTCACCCTGAGGCCTTGCCATTCACTAACAGACCAACACACAGATTAACATGTAAATCACTTCCTCTCAACCAAGGGTCACACATTATATATACCCCACACACCTCCATGCCATCATTCTCTGAAGATGCCAGCCACAGATGCAGGCGAAACATTAGGAATAAATTCTTCTAGAACACAGCCACATAGCCTGAAAAACACAACTATGGATGCTAGCTGTGAAAGCCTTCAACTTCACTTTAATTTAATTGTCCAAATAACAAACCAGCCATTCAGAATATGTGGGGTTCTCTTGCTTTTGCTATTATCATTATTTGTGACAAAAATGAAACGATCCTACATAAAGGGGTTCAAGGCATGGACAAAATAAAACATCCTTCTCCCATTTTCATGGCAATGAGTCCAGACAACTCAGGGCCTAATGTCCAGTTCCAGCGCGAACATTCTGGATAAGGGTATACAACAGCTATACGGAACCCACCGTATAGCCACTCTCAATATGTTTTTTAACAACTTGTTTATTGCTCTGGATCATCTCAGAAGATCTAGAGTCCTCTGTTGCAATACTGGGCAGCTGTTCACATGCATGTCCTGTGATTGATGCTGGGAGCCTTTTTCTGATCTCAGGGTGAGTTACCGCTGCAGTGGCTACACCATATAGCATAGGAACAGAGGTCCCCAGGTAAGAGAGGGACATTGGGGAAGCTTCGGCACCTGAATACTGGCTTGTATGGACCCAGCCAAAGACTTGATGTCCAGCCAAAGTTTTGCACCACCCAAAATAATGCTTGGGTCCTATATGTACCCTTCTGCTTGTGTGGACTATTAGCTTTTCTTCCACAAAAGAAGGGTGCGTCAAATGCAGAAAGGTGTACAACTATATGATCCCAGTTACACAATACACTATGTGTGGTAAAGAAGAACACAAGATCAGGATTTTCTCAACTTGACATGTATTAAGTCTACTAATCAAATCATATTTAAATCTGTATCAAATTGCTGTGTTGATTATGTAAGATTCCACAGTGTAAATGGCAAAGCCATGCCAATGGGGTAAACTGTCTGAGAGAGTTAAGTAATGCTAATATTTATTGACATAGTAAGTCAGTATCAGTCATTCTCCAGTCAGTGCCCTTCAATTGTACTGAACTATATTACAAATCTTTCCAGCTAGAACAGTCAATGGATACAGTGGCTGAGGATGATAAGAGTTGTGGTCCAACATATATTGAGGGTGCCACCTTAGGAAGTCTCGTGCTTCAGAAAAATATTTTTTGAACTTTACTGTTTGTGACTGATTCGTAGGCACAAATTTATACATATGATCTTGGGCAAGTCATACTTTTTCAGCTTCAGAGGAAAGCAAAGGCAAACCCCCTCTGAACCAATCTTGCTTTTAAAAAAATATGATAGGTTCACTTTAGGGTCAGCATAAGTCAGAAATTACTAGAAGGCACACAACAACAAATCAGTCTATCTATCTAACTAGATTGTAGTTCTATTGATATCTTTATGCATCAAACAATTTTAAATACCCTGTTTGAATTTGTATTCAAATTCAGGGAAACAATCTATGCCTCTTAAAATACTTTCAGTATGATTCAGTATGACTGAGGATGTCTGCTGAAGATTAAAATGGAAAGTGGCAATGAAGGGATGCAGCATTATTACTGAGACAAACTGGTTTATTTCAGCAGAAGCTTTTGTGATTACCAGACCTTTTCTTCAGATGCACTGAGTAAGTCCACTGAAGTTTCTGTGAAGAAATAGATTGATTTATGTGAAATCTTATGCTAAAAACTAATTAGTCTCAAAGGTGCTACAGGATTCCTTCATTCCCTGACACTTTTCATTTTATGCTGAAACAGATTAACATCACTCTCTATGAAATCTGCTGAAGCTTCATCATAGAGGCAGCAGATGGCGCTCCATAACAAGCTCCAGTCCAAAGAATTGGAAATTGGCATTAAAGTATTTTTAGCAGCCTGTTAATAGGTAACTACAGTAGGGCCTATTTCAGTTTGGAGAGAAAGTGCCTTACTGCTGGACCCTTTTAATTTAAAGTAATGCAAGTGTAGTTTGCATTCTGATCTTACCTCTTCAGATTCCTGCTTGAGTAGTTACAGCAAAAAGCATTTCTCTATTCAGTTGCATGATTGCTCAGTTCAGCAAGTTACACAGGGTTGTGCTGCCACAGTTGAGTGGGTTTGTGATCTGCCAAGACAAGAAAGAAAATTAATCTGTAGAGAGATTTAGCAAAGAGAATCCCTAAATCAAAAGCATCTGCAAGGGAGATGTAGAGAAGGATAAAATGCCTTGGTTTTTACTTGTACATATATTCTAAAATTCTTGGAAGTTTTGTCTCAAGGCGTGAGTGTTTATTGTTGTTGCTGTGTGCCTTCAAGTCATTTTAGACTTATGGTGATCCTAAAATGAACCTATCACAGGATTTACTTGGCAGGATTTTCTCAGAGGAGGTTTGCCATAACTTCTGAGGCTGAGAGTGTGTGACTTGTCCAAGGTCACCCAGTGGATTGACCTTGGGATTCAAACCCTTATCTACCAGAGTCTTAGTCCAGCATTCAAACCACTATACCACACTGGCTTTCTGGGTCTTTATACCTTTTATAGATGAGTGCGATTGAGATGTGGTCATTTCCTTTGTCTGGGAAAGTATGCTCTGAAATGCATAAAACAGTCCTGTCAGGTAGTCTGGTGTTATCTCTGTTGTTGTTGTGTACCTTCAGGTCATTTCTGACTTATGGCAACCCTAAGGTTTTCTTGGTGAGATTTGTGCAGAGATGGTTTGCTTTTGCCTTGCACTGAGACATCCAGTGGGTTTCCAAGCCTGAGCAGGGATTTGAACCCTGGCCTCCAGAGTCATAGTCCAACACTCAGTCCACTACACCATAAAAACAGACAAAACAAGTAAAAATATTATCTAAAAACAAACTCCTTTTAAAAAGGATTCTTAAGTAGAGACTTAAAGAATGTGACAAGACTGAGAGACAGGACTGTAGAATTAACAAAGAAGGAAAGAAAGAAAAGCCCATTGGAAAGAAGTCCTATGGAACTGTGGTGCCTGAAGAAGAATTCAGGTAGTGGTGAGAAACTGGAAAGAAAGAAAGAAAGAACCTGTCAAAAGGGGTGGTAGACGAAAGGCAGAACTGAGGGGGGAAAGGGCAGAGGATAAAAGCAAAATGAAGAAAGTGGGGTTTATTTTTTGGACTGCAACTCCCATAATCTGTCACAATTAGCTATGCTGGCTAGGGATGGTAGCAATTGTAGTCCAGCAACATCTGGAAGATTGCAAGTTGTTCAACCCTGCTTTAGAGGATCATGTCCATGTGGAAGCCACCCTCCTAACTACTGAAGATATGCTCTTCATTACAAAGATATGAAGGAAATCTGAGGAAATGCACTCTGCTGATACTCAAAAGTTATCATGGTTTTTCGTACTCCCAGGGCTAAGCTGTAGCTTATTTTTAGGCACAGAAAACAGCATTGACTTCTGAGAGGGTAGCACTGTTACAAGAAAAATACTAGAGTTTTATAGCAGTTTTGAAAACTGTGGTACCTATTATTGCCATAAGCTATAGCTTTTCACATTTTAGCACTACAGTGGGCCCTCAGTTTTCATGGGTTCTATATCCGCTGATTTGAGCAACTGCAGATTGAAATAAAGGGGCATTTAATTTTTTTAAACCTGTGATGGCCAGACTGAGAAGTGGTCCTGGGGCCACAGCAGACATTGCTGTGGCACGACTCAGGCAAGCCGATGCCCCTCTCCCCACCCATGGAAGTCAGTCCCAT